ACAATTTTTTCCATATTTAGGTTTTAAAAAGTCGTACAGAAAACTGTTCATCGTTATAAATATCATCACTATGTTTGAACTACTTACTGTGTGCGGCACGATAACAACATGCTTTTAAAAATAGAATCATTGATTGGCACAAATATTATTCAAGTGTGAAAATCAATGTCAACATCAGCATAAACAAAATTTACCTGTCAAAGCATCTCTCTATTTCCGTTTAACATAGTTACCTTGTAGTAGAAAAAAAATCAATATGGAACGAGCCTGAAAAAGCGCTGTACGTAAACGAAAACACCATTCAATTTACTTTTTTTTTAATATCCAAATAAATACTTTTTAATAGTTTTTTTTTCACTTTTTGCGTTTTTCATTTAAATATAAAATGACATAATTTATGAAATAGCTATCGTTACGGCATGTCACGAGTGTTTTTTTTATTTGTTTTACCTAAATGAAATTTCAATTGAAGTATTCTTGCTTTGTTCATTGATTGTTTTAAATCCGCTCTTAAATCATAGATTATTTATTAATTTCGCTTTTATTTTTAATTTATTTTAATTGTTTTTTTGTTTTTTTTTTAATATACGTATCGCCTTTTCTCTACGCTTAACTTAACAAATGGAATTACTTCTTATGCTTATATCGTACTTTGTTGCTGTTGTTTTTTCTTCTTCTTTTATTAATTTAATCATTACGCGTGTCACATTCATCAATTATTTTAATTTTTTCTTCTTTTTTGTTTCGTAAAATTATCCTTATGACCTAGGCAAACTACGGGCTACGTCTTTATGTATGTTTTATTTTTCTTGTTTAACTCTCATTTCAGATCAATAGATACTAGATACTTGCTTCATATATTTATACAGACTAATCAGACCTAGGAGCTACATTTAAAATGTGTGTGTGTGTTTTTTTTTGTGTTAATTTCCATTTTTTTGCTCTTGCTGTTTGCTTGTTTCATTTATGCGCATTTTCATTTCATATATGTTCTGAAAATTGGTTAAAATAAACGTGTGCGATGTGTAAATGTCCTGTAGTAAATACTGCCTAGTTAATGTTTTATCTTCGTTTCGCTGATGCAATCATTTGACGAAGCATTGGCTCCGGTGTGCAGACTTTGGGATCACACTTCATTTGGCCATCGCCACCGCATCTAAGAAGGAGAAGAGAGAAAAGTAATGAATGAGTTTTTGTCTTCAACTTTCGTTTTTTGTGTCCATAAAATATGAAGATAAATGGTCATTGACGAAAAAAGATAAAAAAAAATTGCAATGACAGCCAAAGCGAATGAAATAGAATACACAGAAAAAATGCATTTTGTAATCAAATACTTACATGCAATCGATGCATGGTCCGCTGGCGGTTGTAACTCGTTCGCCAATTTAGTAAGACTGGCTATATTGTCCAAATCTCTTTCTGGTCGTTCAAG